TTCAACTGCGGTTTGTAAAGGTTTGTAAGATCTTCTTTCGTATCTGGTAGTTCTCTTTTTTTCCTATATCTTTTCAAGACACATTCAATCATATTCAAATACAGCGTAGTTCTTTTTTCCGGAAGAGTACCACCAAATTCTTCACATAAAAGGCAAAGCAGAGCCGTGTTCAATGGATTGGCACACATTTCTCTAAGGTTTTCATCGTGTGATATTTGTGCCGAGAGCTTTTCAGCTAACTCTGACTTTTCCTTGAAGTACTTGGCGATAAATTCTCTAGCTTGTGCTTCAGTAAAACCTTTGACCTCAAACAGGGTGTCACACAATTGTCTTACCTTTACTCCAGCTTCGTGTCTTGCTGTTGCCACCACCTTACATTTCGGAAGCACTCTTCCGGCAAGTATTTCTGAAATTATCGGCATTTCAGTGGAAGCTAACTCATCCAGTCCATCTAGTATCAATAAAATGCTGGATTGGTTGGCACAAATAAATTGGAAGAATTGCTGTTTGACGTCTTCGTCGACATCTCGGGGAAGAAGCTGATCATCAATGGCTTCCCAAATATTGGACTTGATATCACGACATTTTAGCAACAACACTACTTTTATGTTTGTGACGCAATCATTGGGGTTCTGCTTTTTTGTAGCCCAGTCATAAACACACTTTTTACAGTAGGTAGTTTTACCCATTCCTGGTTTTCCTTCAATTAGCACTGTTCTCGGTTCTGAACACTCTTCATGTGGATTCAAGAGAGACGACATGGTAATGATTTCGTCAGTGACGGCTCCTCTAGTTTTCTTTCTTCTGACCACTTTGAGCCTTGTAAAAATATCACCGACAAAAAACTGAAACTCTTCACACCATGGAAATGGCGAGAGCCATCCCTCACGAGTCTTGTACAGCTGGCGAATTCCATCGATTAGCTCAGTTGGATCAAAAGCACCTGAAATAAATCAAAGTGACACTGGAAAACTCGTGGATACACTTTACAGTCTATAATTAAAACACAGCAATTTTACTACAAGCCGACGTTACTTTTGAATAAGTGGCCACGAGGAATATCATGTATGAAAAGAAATAATTTACAGACACCAGTTCAGCTAGCAACTTCCCTGAGAAGAAAGTTACCAGGAAAGGTCGCTAGATGGAAAATTTACTCAACAATGTCCAATTACAATTAGACCACAAAAGGATCGATGTTCAGGTGCACAAAGGCGGCCAGTACAAAGTCATACGTACACGTTGGTAATTGAAAGAACTTACTGTTGGCGTCACCTTTTTGAAAACAATACAACGAAAGAACTCGCACGTGTTGGAAACGGCCAAATTTGAAAAAACCAGTAAATAAATAAATTCCAAACACACCCGGAAAATCTCTTAACTTTTCCGTAACAAAACAAAGTAAGCAGAGAATCTTTCCTCTACGGATGGGAGATCTTATCAAACTTGTCATTTAGAACCATATCAATTTAAATTGAGTTAAAGACTGTCGTGTGATAGGCACTAAATTGGTAATAGATAGATCGATATGTTTCTCCACCAAGTTTCGGGGGAGAAATTGAACTATTTTAATTCGACTTTACCATCATATCATGATGAATTTCTGCTGCATTCGTGTATTAAAGACCTTCTATGTCAGTATCTGATTGGACGTCATCACCGAATGTGAGAAAGAAACGTCATCGCATTACACTGCAGGTTTCCGACTAGATTGAAATACATATTTGCTCATTCAGACCTTGTTTGGCTCAGCATAAAAGGAGATCAAAACTGTGTATTCTCAATAATGTTCTTCACAGTTAGTATGAAAATGGGGCCCAGGAACAAGAAAAGTTATATTTCACAAGGCGATTGCGTGATTAAAAGAAAGGTCAAATCAAATGAAATCTGTAAAACCTCCAAACATAGTAAACAAGCTGCCAAAAAAAAAAAAGAAAAATTAGGGGTTGCACAACCACACTAGAAGGTAGTTTTTCAGATTTTTTTTAAAAATGGCTAAAACAAGTACGCAAAGAATAAAATCGTTTCAAACGACAGATCAAATAAATATTTAAAACTTCAAAACATTTGAAACCGGTTGCCAAATATGAGTAACATATCGCCGCATGGCAGCTAAACAGATACGCTAAAAATTAACTTGGAGACAAGAATCAAAATCGCTCACGTGGTGCGACAGTTAACACTGTTGTTATGGTCGATTTTGAGGCTCAAAGACTCAAGTTGAGTATTCTTCTGTACGTTTGCTCTTCGTTTGCGAGGTCTCCAAAAGTGGATTTTTATCAAGAATGGAGCAAAAATTAAACGGAAATATCACCTTGATGATTTTAGCGTACGGTCCGACATAATATTTCCATATGGTTCCTTGGTCTGTTTTCGTCTTCGATTTGAAGACTTTGAAGCCCTTTCTTTTCAAGTGAGTATTGTTACGCGCATTTCCTCTTCGTTTGTAAGCTCTATTCTGGTGTATTTGGAGTGATGGTGGATGGAGTGAAAGGACGACTGCAATTGCCTTTTACAGAAATTCAGACGCAAACGGCCTTTGGCAAGCTTTAGCATTTTAAAATAGTGAGCTTTTAACACTTGCAGTTAGACGTGTGATAAGACGAAACAATAGCGCAAACAATAAGATGCGCGGCTTTTGTCTCTTATTTCCGCCCTGACGAGTTAATGAGCAACGGCCATATTCCTTGTAGAGGAAGGGGCGCAAATTCTCGACCAATAAAAACAAACTAGTGCACAGCCTGCCGCTAATATTACAGATCTATTTCTCTTCTGCAGGAAAATGTCTCGAGAACAATATGCAGTCTGGACGATGAAAAACCCAGCAAGATCATTTTAGCATACGGCCTACGGCGAAACGCCTTTCTATCACCCCAAACATATTAGAGCAGGAGACAATAGCATGATGTTGGGGACAGAGGCAAACCCAACAGGGGAGGCTTGATATTCTCATCCCCAGTTTTCTGCGTCTCCACCAGTGGAAGACCTGAGAAACAATGCAGAACCTTAAACGAAAGCTACGAAAGCTGAAGTAACTAATACGCCTATAAGCCAAATATAGAAATGCAGAAACGCCATGAAACTGACAGATTGAGGTAGAAAGTAAAAGCAATTAAATTAAAAGCCAACGATTATGTGATTTAAAGATACATAATTAATGATAATGATGAGGAATTTATATAGCGCTAAAACTATAAACAATATTCAGACGCACTTTACATAAGTTAAAGTTCTATACTAATTAAAATTAAAATATTCAAATGCAATAAACCTTAGAACTATTAAAACAAACTAAAACAGAAATGTTTTGAGTTGCTTTTTAAAAATGGCGAGACTACTACTTGTTCTTATAGTTAATGGAAGCGAGTTCCATAAAACAGGTGCAGCATGAGCAAAGGTCCGATCCCCAAGTGAAGAGT